CTTTTCCCCCCCGGTGTTGCGCGCGGCGGGGCCCCCCCCTGCCTGTCCTCCCCCCGTGAGTCCCACTGCCCCTTGCCCCACGAAGGGAGCGTTGGCGGCTGGTCGCACTGGCCCAGAGTCCTGCTGGCTGCAGGCACCAGGAGAGGGTCTGACTGGAATGGAGTCTCCTTAGCCCTTTGCAGGGACACGGCAGCCCTGAGGGACTGGACGGTCTCTTCTCCCTCGCTCCCAAGCGCTGCTCTTTCCTGCTTCCCTCCCGGGCTCCGCACCTCTGGGGGCGGCTGGGTTGGAGCCCCGGCAGGCTTTGGTCCTGCACCTTCATCCTGGCAGGTCAGGACAGAAAGCAAATATCTGGTGGGGGGGGGAATATGGGCCATGCGGGGGGGCTGCCATGTGCGCACCCCAGTGCATGCGTGTGTGCCCCCCCATACGTGTGTCCCCCCCATGCGTGTGTGCGCCCCCCGTGTGTGCATGCGTGCGCCCCCCCGTACATGCGTGTGCGGGCCCCCCCATGCATGCGTGTGCGCTCATAGCGCCAGCGCCCGGCCCCAGGCTCGGTGCCCGCTAGCCTGTGGGGTCCTGCAGCAGCGAAGGCTCCGTTGTGAATTCGTTGCTCAGTGCGAGACGGGACCGAGCTCCCTAGCGCTGCAGGAGGGGGCTTGCTGAAAACCGCCCAGAGCAGCTTCCCCTGCCGAGAGCCGTTGTTCCCTGTGGAGGCTGGGACTGGTTCCCCGTGTTTGGCAGGGAAACGGCGCCGCGAGAGGCCCCGCTGGGACCAGGACGATTTTCAGACCTTCTTCCCCTAGGGCAGGGGCCTCATTTCCTGCACGCGGGCTGGGCGGGGCCGTCTGATCCCTTGCCCCGACCTGCCACCATCCTGCCCTCTCCCCCGTCCCCCATGGCATCCCATCCCCCCAGGGACCTGGCCTCACAGATTATGGGGTCCTGGTGCGGGGCAGCAGCAGTGGGACCCCCCTGCCCTCCCTGTCAGACCTTCTTCCCCTAGGGCAGGGGCCTCATTTCCTGCACGCGGGCTGGGCGGGGCCGTCTGATCCCTTGCCCCGACCTGCCACCATCCTGCCCTCTCCCCCGTCCCCCATGGCATCCCATCCCCCCAGGGACCTGGCCTCACAGATTATGGGGTCCTGGTGCGGGGCAGCAGCAGTGGGACCCCCCTGCCCTCCCTG